TTCCTGCTTTCCCTTTATTGTTTTCTTCCTTCATTTCATTTGACCCCTGTCTTCCTCTTGGTCTTCTGCCCTCTCCTGCCTCTCATCAATGGCTACGGAAATAAGTCCACCTTCTCTATGAACTGAGGTCCAGATGGCAATCCAAAAACTAGGATACTACCTGGGAACTTGGAAAGGTCAGTTTTAAGCCCATGACTAATAGAAATAACCAAGGGCAGAGAAAGAAAAGAAGGGTGCAGAGAATGTTGCCAGCAGGATTGGAAAATATGGTGGCCTTAAAGAAGTCTTTGATGCAGGGACCACCAGTTAGCGTAATGGCTATGTCACTGAACTCCCATGTAGTTGATCACAGTTCGAGTCCTGGATCTGGTGGCTTAAATTCACACCAGGCGTGCCCAAGATCCCGAGAGGAGAATGGAGGAGAAGGGGTTACAGCATGAACATCCCCCGTGGGGGTGATTTCTCCCTGCTCTGTCTCCCTGTCTTTCTGGCGAGCGCACACACCCTGTAGCAAAAACCTCTCAAAAAAAAAAAAGTCTTTGATGCAGAACGTGATCACACGGTTGACTGTGCATGCTTTTTAAGTAAGTGGTAGTGTTTTTTTTTTTTTTAAGAATTCTTTTATTTGACTTTATTTATTTACGTATTTATTTTAATTTGATCAGAGAGGGACAGAGTGAGAGAGAGAGAGAAAGTGGAAAGCAGGCTGCCAGGTCAGAGACTCGAACCATGGTTGGCCATGTGGGAGTCCAGTGCCCTTAACCACCATATCACCTGCCGGTCCCAAGTAGTAGTGTTTTTGCTACTCTTCTTATATCAGCATTGTCTTTGTTATTGTCATTATCATCATCATCTTACACTACTTTCCATACTGGGAGCCGTCTCCTCATGAGAGTCATGTTCTCCTTTTTTTTTGGGGGGGGGCACGCAGAGGTTTTTGCCATAGGGTGCGTCTGCTCCCCAGAAAGACAGAGACAGAGAAACAGAAAGCGAGAAATCACCTCCCAGGGGGGATGGCCACTCCGCAATCCATCCTCCTCCAGTATACTCGGGATCTTGGGTACACACGCACACGCGCCCGGTGTGAGTTTAAGCCACCAGGTCTGGAACTCAAACGGCGGTCGACTACGTGGGAGTCCAGCAACGTAGCCGTTATGCCAATGGCTAATGCTGGTAACCCATTTTCCATTTTATTTTTATCCCTAGATCCCTGAAAACTAGAGCTTTCTGTGGAAATCTGCCTTGAAAAAATTGGAAGTCCTAAGTACTGGCGAGGGCAATCACAATGGCATATTTTTAAGGCTTAATTCCAGTATCCATTCCAATTCCATTCCCGAGCTTTCCATTTGCTTGTCTTCGATAAATCCATGTGAAACACCATCATTTTATATTAGTCACACTGTTTAATATCCACAGACCTTAAACTACAGTTCATCTGGGCAGACGCTTGGCTTTTTTCCCCTCCTGCATGCTGAATTAAATAAGTCTATGACGTCAGTGTTGTTATTCAGTAATAGAAAAACAAAACCCATTACATTTTAGTTCCCTTTTAAAATCTGAACAGAAAGCAGGCGTTGTCATATTGCACATTCATGGCATGAGAGAAAATGAGGACTAGCTCCATTAAGGAATAGATGCTTAATGGCTAAACCAGGAAACAATTATGTTTTCTCTGAAAATGGCCATGAGCTTGAATTAGGCACTTTGCTTCTTCACATCTACATATGCCTCTTTGAAGGAGGGGATTTGCGTTACCAGACATTTTCTTTTAGATAATTTTTTAGGAGGAAAACCATATAAATGAATTCTTTTTACTTTTATAGATGGGAACATCGTCTGTGTACAGTCTTACCATCTATAAAACATCCCTGAGAAACACAGTCAAGTGTCACAGGTAAAAAGAGAGAAGGGCTGGTTGAAGAGGACCTGGGGCTTTGCAGTCTATAACATTTCAATAATAGAGCCTTTTTTAGAGCTAGGAGGAAGAGAGGCTCTGTACCGACAGCATACCTCTTAACTTGAAGAGACTGCTGCTAGTGTTTCATTTCGGGGAGAGTATAGAGGAGGAGAGACAGCTGTCCATTATTATAAATGTCAGGCATCCAAGGACTTTCATAGTAGAGACATTATTAGGCAAGAGAAGTGTTGTCGAAGGCACTATAATGAGTGTCAGGTGTCTGAAATAGTTGGAAGACTAATGTTTTCAGCAAAACAGAATTGAGAAACAGGAGATCAGGAGTGGCAGGAAGGCATCTGTTGGTTTGTTAGAAAAGTCAAGATGTATTTTCTATGCAAAAATGCGTCATGACTTTTCTGATGACCCAGTACATCATGAGGTTGGCTTCTGAGACATTTTTATTGTATTCTTCTGTTTCATGTGTCCACTATTTACTTGGAACCGACTGTGTGTCAGACACTGCTAGGTGCCAGGGCTACAGTGGTGACTCAGCATGTCAGCAGACATGGTAATTGTCCTCATGGAGCTTAAAAAAAAAAAGAAAGAATAAAGAAGGCCAAAGTCTTATTAGTGAGGACTGAAGAGAAATCCTGAATGGCTTTCTTGTTCCCTGTCAATTCTTAGCAGAACTGACCCTCCCAATGATTCAGGTTTCTGACACTTGGGTGCTACCTTCCTGACCTCCAAAATTTTTCTAAGACAGGGCTCCTTTTCTTTGGATCACTCTCCAGAAATCTTCCTCTGCGGCCTTCATCAGCTTCTCCCATTCTTTGCAGTGACTGACTATTCTAAACTCAAATTTCCTATCTTAACTACCTTTGCGCCTGCTCTTGGCAGGTAACCGTGCCTGGCTCTTCACGGAAAATTAAGGCCACTAGATGAGAACTCCCTTACAAATTTTGCTACACTGTTACTTC